TGGCTGACCACTGAAATTTGGAAGGAAACCATAAATTGCTCCAGGGGGAGCTGCAGTCTTAGAACAAGAACTCAAATGGAGGGCCCTGGTCACGTACTCATGCCTTCCACAAGCCTTGCAGAATTTGAAAGGACAGTTTCTTTCATTCTACCTGTTTTCTATGGGAGTGACATTGACCCAAGCAAGGCTGACCTCTAATGCAACACCATTGGATGCCACAAGGAGAGAACAAAACAATTTTTGTCCCAGTCCCACCATTCAGTCATGTCTGTGTCTTAGTGACAGATACACAAGAGAGAGATTTGTTGAACAGGGAAAACCAAGCAGTTTTTAGGGGTAAGTCAAATCAGTATGAACAGCTTGTCTATCTCCATGTTGATGGTTCAAATCTATGGCTAGCTTATGCCATTTCTTCCTAAGGCAGAAGGTGAAGGCAAACCCTTATTTCAGATGCCCTAGCTCTGTTTCATTTGGAGTCAGACAACATCCTCTCTCCTCTGATACTCATTGCAGAGGATCATTTAAGGGCTTGTCTACATTAGCAGTTCTCAACCGGGGGTCCACGGCCCCCTGGGGGTCCGCAAGCCCTTTCAATGGGTCCATGGGGCTACGCGGCTGAAGGCCCGAACCTCAGCGCCTCCTGCGAGGCTGAAGCCAGGAGATGTGGGGCTGAATCCCGGAGCCCCGAGCCCGGTGCTCTCTGTGGGGCAGAAGCCCTGAGCCGAGTTGGGGACATGGAAGGTATTGCCTGCCCCCCCGCCCCCCACCCAAAAAAAAAAACTGCAGCGCAATAGCATGGCAGTCCCAGGGGCAGTTCCACACCTCCCTCCCCACCCATCTCCTCGCCCCGCCCCTGGCCAGATGAGGTGGGAAGCTGGAGCCAGGCAGTGCGGGGCAGCTGCTGCTCTGGTTGATGCCATGGAGCAGGCAGCGGCAGCGTTCCCTCCTCTCCTGCTGGTCTCCTGGGTTCAAGCTGCTCCTCAGCTCCCAGTCCCCTTTGCTCCTGCAGAGGCAGCAGGTAAGAGCTCCCTGCATGGGAGACCCAGCTCCGTGGCTGGCAGACCCCTCTGGGAACAGGGACCGCACCCTGCACCATGAGCTACCCCCTGCCTGCCCACAGCCTCTAGCCACCCCCTGCCTGCCCACAGCCTCTAGCCACCCCTTCCCTGCACCCACAGCCATCCCCTGTGTGCACACAGCCCCAGCTACCCCCCACCCCACACACTAAGCTGTTTTAAAACTTTTTGAACTAAGCCCCCCCACCTTTGAGTCTTTGAGTTATAATTTTTGGTTGCATGCCCCCCCCCCATAACCCAGTCAGGCTGGGTGGCCTGCTGAGGTGAGTCAGGGGGTGGAGGTGGCACTCCCTCCCTGGACCCCGCCATGTGGAGGTGGCTCAAGCCCCGCTGGATCCTGCCCCCCCAAAATAGAAGTTAAACTACACCTATGTAGTCCCGAGGCCCTCCTTCCACCCCACCCTCACCCCCCGCTGGGCCCTGGAGTTTTTATAGCATGTCGAGGGGGGCCTCAGAGAGAAAAAGGTTGAGAACCCCTGGTCTACATCTGTGGTCTGTGGCCGATGTCTACGGGGTCCACGAAAGGTTGGCATTAACATAGAACAGTGGTTTTCAACCTTAGACTATGACTAAGATTTCCAAAGGGGTCCATACCTCCATTTGACATTTTTTAGGGGTCCACAAATGAAAAAAAAAGTTGAAAAACACTGGTCTACACAAACAGTTAGACCAGAGGTAGGCACCTGATGGCACGTGAGCCACCTTCGGCACGCGAGCTGATTTTCAGTGGCACTCACACTGTCCATGTCCTGGCCACCAGTCCAGGGGACTCTGCATTTTAAGTTAATTTTAAATGAAGCTTCTTAAACATTTTAAAAACTTTATTTACTTTACATACAAAAATAGTTTAGTTCTATATTATAGACTTCTAGAAAGAGACCGTCTAAAAACGTTAAAATGTATTACTGGCACACAAAACCTTAAATCAGAGTGAATAAATGAAGACTCGGCACACCACTGCTGAAAGGTTGCCGACCCCTGAATTAGACCATGGTGAGCTGGGGTGTGAATCAACCCTGCAGTAGCCTGCCATGGTCTAACTGTCTGTACATGTTTGCACACTCTGCTGATAAGAGCATAGGAATGGCCATAGTGGGTCAGACCAATGGTCCAGCTAGCCCAGTATCCTGTCTTCCAACACTGGATGGTGCGAGATGCTTCAGAGGGAACATACAGAACAGTGCAATTTATCCATAGATCCATCCCGTCGCCCGGTCCCAGCTTCTGGCAGTCAGAGCCTAGGGTTGTATCCCTGCCCATTATGGCTAATAACCATTGATGGACCTCCCTCCATGAACTGATCTAATTCTTTTTTTAAACCTCGTTATACTTCTGACCTTCACAACAACCCCTGCCAACAAATTCCACAGGTTGACTGTGCATTGTGTGAAGAACTTTCTGAAAGGCAGCAACAGTCAATGTAAGCAACACAGTATCTACACTGACACTGTGTTGACCTAGCTACATCGATTTAAGTGCTACACCTCTCATGCAGATGAAATTAAGCTGGTGTAGTGGGCAAGTTACATCAGTGGGAGCTACATTTTAGCGTAGACACTTACAGAGTTAGGTCAACATAAGCTGTCTTATGTCAACCTAACTCTGTAGTGTAGACCAGGCCTTTGTTTCCTATCTTTACCTGGTTATTGATCCATGAGAGGACCTTCACTCTTATCCCATTACTGCCTACTTTGTTTAAGAGCCTTTGGTGAGGGACCTTGTCATTGCATCTTAAGTTTAATAGAATGCTTTGATCTAGTCCTGTTTCAAAGAGGACTACCTCCAACTGTTAGTGCTCATCAGCTGGGTGCATACGGACGGCAGGCTAGAACATGGTAGCTTCATACCCCAGCTCGCTCTGGTCTAATAGTTTGTGTCATCAAACCCTGAGCGCTCTTGCCAGGGCCTCTTTTATCCTTGCTTCTTTGAGCAGCGTGGAGCTCAGAGAACACAGGGCTACTGCTTTCCTTCCTTCAACACTGGCAATGAAGTCTTGATTTTTAGAAGCCAGTATAGACGAGTTCAGCTGGTACAGGCGGGTGTGTGTGTGCGTGTCTCTCTCTCTCTCATAGGAAGAAAAGGAAGGTGCACAGTCACGTGAGCTGGGTCTACTTCTCCTCTATGAAATAGGCCAAGGGAGGGAACAGAAAAATTCGAACAGGAAGAACTAGCTCTTTATTCAACTGTCAGAGCAGGAGTCGGCAACCTTTCAGAAGTGGTGTGCCAAGTCTTCATTTATAAACTCTAATTTAGGGTTCTGCGTGCCAGTGATATATTTTAATGTTTTTAGAAGGTCTCTTTCTAGAAGTCTATAATATAGAACTAAACTATTCTTGTATGTAAAGTAAATAAGGATTTTAAAATGTTTAAGAAGCTTCATTTAAAATTAAATTAAAATGCAGAGCCCCCCGGACCGGTGGCCAGGGCCCGGGCAGTGTGAGTGCCACTGAAATTCAACTCAAAGGGAGGGGCAAAAGCAGGGCTTTACCCAGGTGCATATGGCTGTTCTCATGCTCCTCCCAACCTTAGCAGCCACCAACACTGAAGGCAGTAAGGGAGTGGTGGAGGGCCAGGGACAGTGGGGTTAGGTTAGCATATACTACCTTGTACAATGTAGTAAGAGCTGAATTGGCATGTGTTTTTCGCAGAGTCCTGTTGGCTCAGGCTAAGCTACTTCCCACAATAACCTGCAAAGCACAACTCAGCATTTGGCATAAAAAGACAGGAAACTTGCCAAAAAATGAAGATCGATTTGTTCTACATCTTAGTATGAACTACGGCGACACCTTCATGGACCAATAGCTGGAATGCCAATACCCAAAACAGAGATAAGGAAGGTAAAGGTACAGAATAACATGTTAAGTGACTGGGATGAACTGATTGGGGTGGATTTTAGTGACGTAGAGTTTTGTAACTTGTAAAATCATCCTGTCAATGCTGTAAGCTGAAACATGTAACTTTGGGAGCATACCCCCTATGGAAGGTGAAGGTAACAACATTGCATTAGATAGCTTCCTGCAGACTGGTATCATATTGAACCTTTGTCCTGTACTGCATTATTGGTTTTTAGCCATAACCCTGACTGATATTGGTTATTTGGTCTCTTGAATTGATTTCATTATCAAACCAAAGCGTCATCAAGCAGTTGACTATACACTTGATCAGCAGTGGCCTTGTGCTGTTCCTGTATCAGGGGAATTCTCCCCTGGCCCCTTGTAGCACTTTTACATCCCCTCTGTACCACTGGAGCAGCACATAGCTGGAGGCTTCACATGGAGTCCTGTGATATGGTCACCTCCTCCCCTAAGAACACAGAGGTGAGGGTCAACAGCTGTAGAGTAGCAGTGGTTGAGGTCCAGCAGGCCTAAGTGCAGTTTGATTCTGTGCAACAAATTTTTCCAAAGGGGGTGAAAGCAAAGTGCAAATATAAGAAAGACCTAGTCAATATTGAAAGGCAGAACAGGATAGCATAGATCTGCCCCTGCTCCCACTGCAATCAATAACAGAACACCCTTCTGCTTCTGTAGAAGTAGGATAAAACTCCAAATGCGGTTTTGTTTGTGTATGTAAGACAGACAAATATCAGAAAGGGTCAAATTCTGCTCGTTTGTCATAGGAGCAGTCCTACTGAAGCGAACAGGATTTAGCCTATGCCGCATAGTCTAATTTATAAAGGCACTGAACTGGGCTTTTGGGGATCTGGATATTATTTCTGGCTTTGTCACGGACAGACTTTTGGCAAGTTGTTTCCCCTCCCTGTTCCTGTTTTCCCTCCCACTCTTCATCTGTCACGTCTATTTAGACTGCAGACTCTTCAGGGCAAGGATCATTTCATACTCTGGGTACATACAGTGCCTTACACAACAGGGCCAATAATAGATTGGGTACTACTGTAATAATATGGATAATGAGCAATCCAGAGTATTCAAAAACAAACCAAACACTTTAATCAGGGCGAGGCACCTCTTACGGTGATATTCTTACAAAATATTAAATAACGTGAAGGACTTTCTCCCACTTCGACTCTATACAAAAAAATTACATTATTTACAAACACTGGTCTCCGAATAGCTTTACAATGCTACTCACAGACTGCACATGGCAAGAGAGTGCACAAACGGCACAGGGAACCCCTCCTTCCAAGTCGCCTGCGGGTTCAGTATAAGCATTTTAAAAATCAAATGGTACTCAATGCAGCAGCAGCAGCAACTGCCTCCAGAAGCAGGAAAACACCATTTTGGAAAGACTAGTTCACTGGTTTTAGTTTTGTAGGTTGAAAATAAATACTTCCTGTAGTGGGGGGGGGGGAATTCTCTTAACTTGTTCCTCAGCTCCCCCGACCAGCTGAAAATACCTGTGTGTAGAGTCTGTAAAGGCCTTTGCTCTTATACTTCTCTACCGCACAATAACCAGTCCCATTTGGTTGCCTGGTGGAGCATAGATGTGTCAGTTCTTAGCCATTCACTTCAGCTGATGAGAGGGAGACTTCACTATTATGTCCGGAATCATTACAGTGTTATAGGAAGTGAAATGGTCGCTGTTCTGAAGACATATGAGGTCTCTCCTTCTCACCCCCATTTTATTGTTACATTAGGATGGATAGTCCCCATTTCCTTGTCAAGTATAAAGGATTTTCACCGGCATATGCATTCCCTAAGAACTCCTTAAAAAGACACCCAGGAGTGAGCATCCAGGACCTGCATTGTAATCAGGTTTAAAAAAAATAAATCAGTCTTTAAAACCCACTCAGAATGTCTCTCAGCTATGACAAGAATCGAGCTCCTAACTGGTGACACTATCTCAACAAAGTTAACAGGGGAATCCAAAAGTTTAAATAAAACAAACAAAAAAAACCAAAACTTCAAGGCAGCAGCTCCTTACAAAGGTAAATTCATAACATTTTTTAAATGTTTTCATTTAAAACAACAAAATCAGTCCTGTAACTATGGAAGTCATGATCCCAATGTTCTGTTTAATCTCTGTAGCCTTTCAGAATTAAAAAGGGCAGGGAATTAAAGCAAGAAGCTATATTTAATGAATAAAGTATGTATAAAGAAGGAGGGAGAAGTGAATGTTGGCTGAGTGGTGGGGAGCATTGCAATGAAGATGTAGATGGTTAGCTTTTCTTCCTTTAGGGGCAGAAAGTAAAGGTTCTCCCCCCCACCCCACCCCACCCCCAAAACATTGAATCAAACAACCCCTTCCCCATTAAAAAAAAAAAAAAAAAAAAAAGGCTACTTCTGCCAAGCAGATCAGATACAGATCAGCCACTCTTGGTTGAAAGGGAAAAGGTTTACAAGATTAGCAATGGAAAACAGAGCCAACTACTGCCCCTGTCCCTTCAGAATGTACTCAGTGCTGTACATTCTGAAGTGTTCTTAAAAGTACCCATCAGCAAGCCCACTCAAGCTGCGCTGGAAGCAATGAGGCCACTAACATGAGTGGGCTTAGTCTGTCTCTTGTAGAGCTTCCAGCTCCACAGAAAATGCACTTTCAAAACCCACCATAGAATATTAAACTAAAAAGAAATATTAAAAAGAAAATTAAGAAAGTGTGTGTTGGGTGGCAGGGGGAGATGTATAAGGACCAAATTCAGCACCAGTTTAGATCCTGTGCAAGATCAAACCATCTCCAACAGGATTGCATAGAGTGCAGAAAATCACAACATTTGACTGTAAGAGCCAGATCCTGCTCCATGGAAAGTCAGGGCCTGACTCCCACTGACTCCATGGCAACAGAATCAAGCCCCGGGTGTCCAATTGCAACTCAGCTTCAAGGATGTTGTGTCACCAGCTAGACCCAGCGGGGACTGCTCGTAGGGTGCATTTTGAACAGGAACCTGCACAAATTGTCAGTCAGGTGAGCATGAAAGATACATTCTATCTGAAAACAGAGGGATGAGTGTGGCTGGGAGGCTGTGTAAAGAGAGAGAGAGATGATCCGCTAAAAATCAAGTGGGAGTAAAGGAGATGAAAAGAAAAGGTGCCTAGTGGAAGAACAGTGTGACACCACTTCCCTGCTGTATTCCTGAGCTACATGTGCTTGGTGTGATGCCCTCTATAGGCTGCTGGGGTTGTGCATGTGGAGGGCCTGTCCCCTTTGAACACTGAACGTGGCCTCCATGCGAGAGCCCAGCCTCCAGGAAGGAGACTGCTCTCCCTGGTGGGGAATATCCATGCCAATAAGGAACAATGGGAGGTTATGGACTAGGGGAGAATGGTCAGTCTGAGGGAAATATTGCTTTGAATAGATGCAATTATTCCTCTCCCACTGAACCAAGCCCATGGCCTTCCATGTAGAATTTATCTTCTGGACTTCCTACTACAGGCACAAGGCACATTGGTGCTTTGGTGTCCATTCAGAAGGTGCAGGGTAAGTGGGGGAGGAGAAAGGAATGAACTCATTTAGTTATGTGACGTTTCTCTCCATCGACACCTGGGTGCATTTAGTCCATTGACAGAGATGGGACCATGGTGGGGAAGACAATAAACAAGCCCCAGAGCTTTTTACTCATACTGAGTTGGAGCCACTAGTGCTGTAAGCCACCAGCAAAGGCCAAGGTACACTTTCATTCATCCACTTTCAGCCAGCCTTTCTTGTAGTCCTGCAGGATCTCCAGGTAGTACTGCCACTCGGGCTCGCTGTCATACTTCACCTCATACACCGTCTTGAGGGGGTCCTTGTGATGCTTGTGGATCCTCAGCACCACCCCCTGGTACCAGGCCTCTGTCTTGTCATTCTCCTCATACAGATGTCTGATCCGCTTGCCCACCAGTTCCGGGTACCTGGATGGGGACATCGGACTCTCCGCCTCATTCCTGAAGGTCTTGCTGAGGAGGGAGCAGCCTCGCCTTGAAGCTGGACTCCTCCCCCTCATCCCCCTAGTGCCATGGAGAGGAGTCCTCTGCGCTCCCCGAAGGACCCTCTGGAATTTGATCCGAACCATTGAGTTCCGGAGGTGCAGAACTCTTGAGGTACTCCTGGTCTTCCTGGATGCCTTACTGGTCAGCTTCAGCTGAAGGGTCCTACAAGGCTTGTGGGTTTGGAGAAGTTGCCTCTTGGCACCAGAGGGTGGTGGGAGTCCATTTGGTTTTGAATCCAGGGAGCTGGGAACAACTTGGGAAGATGGTCTCCCATCCTTGAGCAAAGTATCCTCTCCATCAGGAGGGGAGCAGCTTCCCTGAGGCTTCTCGTCAAGCAGATGGGTTTTCTCTGGTCCCAGGGCAGCAGCCCCCTCCTGGAAAGGAGACCCCTGCTTAGATGAGATCAGAAACTTTCCTTTCCTGTGCTTTCCCTTGAACAAGTTGGCCGGCGTTCCAGCTCTTGCACCCATCAGGCCCCCAGTCGCTTTCTTCTTCACGTAATCCACTGCTACTGCTTTGCCTTCATCTGTCAGAGTCCCTGCACCAGGTTCACCTAGGTGAGGAAGAGAGGACATGGTCAGTTAAGTTAGCACCTTCACCTGCTTAAAATAAAGCTCTCGTTGCACTGTCTGGACCACTTGAGGATGACATCTGCAGGAATTGAAGCCATAGGCACACCATACAATTTCAACCCTAGTCTACTAGCCAAAATGCAATGGGTTCCATTTCCTCCTTCTTTGGGGCTTACTTCCAGTGACCTGAAAGGGAGCCTGGTAAAGGTCCCTTCAGATCCAGCAGTAGAGATGGAGCACTCGCTGCCGTATTCCTCTGACAGCAGTGCCTAGAATTCCATTACGCTGCTGAGGGAGAAGAGAGTATATCCTGGCACTGTGGTTACCCACCAGCTTATGACTAGGATGGGGAATTTGAACCTATGCCATTAGCTACCAGTGGAGGCTCTGCCATGTGTTTTAAATGGCTGTCATGGAAGTACTACCTCCAGATTATAGTGGTTCTGGCAATGATGTTCTATGGCCAAAAAACTGGGTTTCATTGGCTCCTGCCCCTGCCCCACCCCTCACGATTTAAACAAGACCAGCTTATTCTACAACTCACCAGTTGCTCTGAGTCAATTACCATCAAGTTAAAAGACCAGGGTAACTTTCAGAGCTTGGATAGGAAGCCACTTCTGCACTGTTCCTCCCTGTTCTAGCCCCTGCTTTTGCCTAGAGCATGAGGAAATGGAAGCTGTCATGTACTAATGAGATCTGATCTAGGATATCATAGAAATGTAGGGCTAGAAGGAACCTCAAGAAGTCATCTAGTCCATTTGCCCACACTGAGAAAGGGATAAGTATACCTTGACCATCCCTGTTTTTCTAAACTGTTCTTAAAAACTTCTAGTGCTGGGGATTCCACAACCTCCACTGGTAACCTAGTCCAGTGCTTGATGATCTTCGTGGTTCGAAAGTTTTTCCCACACAATCCAACCTAAATGTCCCTTGTTGCAAACTAAGCGGATTACTTCTTGTCCAACCATGGAAAACAATTGATCACCATCCTCTTTAAAACATACTTATCAGATCTCCCCCAGCTTTCTCTTCTGTAGACTAAACATGCCCCCATCTTTCAGCCTTTCCTCATAGGTAGGGCCCTTCGTTTCTGGTTTTTATTTTATTTTATTTTTCCCAGGAATTTATCAGTGTTCATTACAACGACGACGAAAACCGGTGAAAATTGGTGGAAAAAACTATTTTTTGTGGGTAAACATCAGGTTTTATTTTGGTGGACAGAAGGATGGGGAAAAATGTATTCAGTAGATTAATGCTTTGATGAATGGAATTCAATGTTCTTTGCTGCAGAGTTAAAAACAGAACTCAATACACAATGCCACCTCAGAGTTTAAGAAAACAATATATCTCTAATCCCCAAATAAAAAACTTTTCATTTGAATAAACAGTTTCCTGTTGCAGACTTAGAACTGTTAGCCTATAAATATTTACATGTAATAATTGGGCTACACCATTTGCAGCACATACACTCAACTTCATCCTTTTCTCCGGTGGGTTTTTTTAAACTTTCAAATATTTCCTTGTGTTCTGAAACACATACTGATACAGGTTTTAGTTTCCTTCTCATCTTTTTGTCAGATCTTTAAACCGTTATCTGCCAACAGCTTGAAAGGTGTACGTGGTGGGCGTGAGATTCATCAGTACGTTCAGATGCGCACACGCTTCAGAGTTTACGTGTGTGCCTGCTTGTTTATTGTGTGTCTCTTCTAAATGAATAGATGGCCTTGCTTCAACAGGCAGCTTTGAATATACACACACACTAATGTATTATCGTACATGTATCTCATGCAATGTCTTGTATTTTCCTAATAAAACGAGTACTTTTTTATATATTAGAATGCTGCAAAAGTAGGGTGAAAATTGGAAAAAAACAAATAATACTTTTCCTAAAACCCAGGATTTTTTCAGTAAAAATCAGTTTAAACTGAAAACAAAGGGGCTTACTCACAGGCTATGTTTTCCAAACCCCATATACATTTTTGTTGCTCTCCTCTGGAGTCTCTCCAATTTGTTCACATCTTTCTCAAAGTGCAGAGCTCCAGATTGGAGCTGAGGCCTCGCCAATGCTGACTAAAGTGGAACAATTATAGAATATCAGGGTTGGAAGGGACCTCAGGAGGTCATCTAGTCCAACCCCCTGCTCAAAGCAGTACCAATCCCCAGACAGATTTTTGCACCCAAATCCCTAAAGGCCCCCTTGAGGATTGAACTCACAACCCTGGGTTTAGCAGGCCAATGCTGAAACCTCTCCGGTGTCTAAGGGTACGTCTATACCCAGCCGCTAGTTCAGCGGCTAGCAATCGAACTTCTGGGTTCGACTTATCGCGTCTTGTCTGGACGCGATAAGTCGAACCCGGAAGTGCTCGCCGTCGACTGCGGTACTCCAGCTAGACGAGAAGAGTACCGCGGAGTCGATGGGGGAGCCTGCCTGCCGCGTGTGGACCGAGGTAAGATCGAACTAAGGTACTTCGAACTTCAGCTACGTTATTCACGTAGCTGAAGTTGCGTACCTTAGTTCGATTTGGGGGGTTAGTGTAGACCAAGCTTTAGATACAACACTCTTAATTCATCCTAGAATCACAATTGCCTTTTTCACTGCAGCATCACACCGTTGACTCGTTCAATTTGAGATACAGTATAACCCCCAGATCCTTTTCAGCAGCATTACTGCCTAGCCAGTTATTCCCCATTTTGTATTTGTTATTTTATTTTTTCTCCTTAAGTCTAGTACTTTGCACTCGTCTTCATTGCATTTCATCCTGTTGATTTCAGACCAATTTGTCAAGACCTGCCTGAATTCTAATCCTGTCCTCCAAAGTGCTAGCAACCCCTCCCAGCATAGTGTCATCCACAAATTTTGTAAGTAGAGCCTCCACTCCATCAGGTATGTTGCGAATGAAAATATGGAGTAGTAACAGACCCAAGACACACCCTTTAAATACCTCACTAGGTGCGTCCTCCCAGTTTAACAATGAGCCATTGAGAATTACTCTTGGAGTAGGGCTTTCACCCCTATGCAATTTAAAAAAGGAATTAGCAAAGATAGCCAATGTTCTCTAAGTGTTCGAAACTACGATGCACCTAACGACCAAATAGTGTCCAATTATTTTGGGTGGGATTTTCCAAGGAGCCTAAAGGATTTGGGCACTTAACTCCCTTAAGCTCCTTTGAAAGGGATTTGTTCTGGATAGAATTTTAAAGGCATATTGAGAGGAGGAATAGGCAGGAGTTACTTTGTCAAGAATTATTCCAGTTTTGCCAACACACTCTAGGCCAGTCATTCCCTCGCTCATCTCCCCCAGACAGACTAACATACACAAGGGCAGATGGTAATCTGCTGTCCAGTATTGTGATGGAAGGCCAGTTTCTCAGACACCAGTGCCACTTCACCTCTGTGCCCCATAAATAACTGGGTGTTCTCCCCCAACAGCATGGTTTCAACTGTTTTTAATATATTAAAAACACACACAAAGAACAAATACCTACTTGGAGGCATGCTGGCCAGCTTGTGAACTTGGACCTGTAAGAAATAAAGTTATTGGTAATCATCTGAAGCGCAGCAAAGATGACACTATTCAAAGGCTACTAGGAAGGGGCAGTTGGAACTAATTACAGTAGGATAAGGGTCTCTACTTTGAAACACAGAGAGACTTACGCTTATTTTCTTCAGGGTGCAAACTGATCCCCTGGGGAAAATGGAGTAATCTCTTTTCCCCTAACCACTTAGAGCCCTGCACACCCTATTGTTAAGGCTGTAGAGGGATTTCACCAGGCCAGAGGAACTGGGAATTCCTAGCATAATCTTGGCTGATTTGCATTGTGATTGATATGGAATTGAGGTTTCAATTCCACAAGGGACAGGGCACCTCCAAACCAGCACCTTCCAGGGCCAGGATATAAAGCATGGTGATTCCATTGAGAATAAAATGGGAATTGTAACCTCATTGTGCCAGAGGTATGGTTTAATATGCCTTCCGTGTGGATCACTCCAAAAAAATTGCAAGAGGCACTTCCCTTGCAGAAACACAAGCTGGGTCTGGGTGCACATGCTGGGAACACACCATATTTCTGGTAATTAAGGCTTTCAGTGGAAATAAATCCAGTTAGCGCTGCACAGAATCCCCCCTACATGTTCCATATAGGGATCAGACCCTTTGTTTCTGATCAAAGTTGGCCAACTGACTCTGCCTACACAAGACAAAAGCAAACCAAAGTTCCCAGAGAAGTGTCACCAATGACACACACAGTAACTTTTCCATTGACTTTTTCCATTGGGGGAAATGGGAAGGACAGACCTCAACACCTCATCCCAACACTAGGGCCTCTAATGATGCAGTGCTCCTCCAGTTACTGCCTTGCGACATCAGAGGGGCAAGCGCAAACGTTCTGTGGGAGATTTAACTTTAATACTCAAGAAGAGACGCTAATGCCAGTGAAGACACCTTCAAAGACACCTAAATGTATAGAATAGAGGAGTAAGAGCAAAGACCTCCATCTTTCTCATTAATGGAACCTAGAGATGACCAAAGCCCCTGTTCAGCAAAGCACATCGATGGACTATACATCCTTCACGTTAAACATGTGCTTAATTGCTTTGCTGAACAGGGCCCTAATGACTAGAAAGACATTTTAACCACCACAAAAGCAGGTGATTGTATAGTCACAGCGGTTAAAGGTCAAGATTTTTTTAGGCTTCTTTGCCCTGTTTTTTATTCTAATCCTCTGCTGTTGCAGGTTCATACGTGGACAGTTAGTAGCTCGGAGCATCTATTTACAGGGCTGTTTTTGGGTGGCATTCGCAGACAGGGTATGCAAAAGAAATGCAGCCACTGAGAATTCAATTGGAGAAGGAGTCCCTCCCACAGGGACAGAATACGTCCCTTTAAAATTAAGGGACAACTCAAGAGTGTAACCATGTTCTTGTGTTAAAATATATAACATATAATATATAAATAATATATAAAATCAAAAGGTACTGCTG